TATTAACACTCTATGATATTGCTAATATTGATGGATGCACGATTGTTGGTGCTGAACCTGAACCAGACTGGATCACCTTAGTTATAAGCATAAGAGGTATTACTGGGGAGATCTACAGGATTACTCCAGTGAGAAAAGTTGATATTGTAGGTTTTCGTAATTCTCTAAAGCTATAGATATACTTGTTAATCGTATTTTCATTTATAGGATGCTTTGAAAAAAGTAGATCTTGTGGGAGAGGATGAGATTCTGGTCCTTACATGCTACGACGGTAAAAACACGATTGCCGAGATGTATTGCTTAAGGGAGGAAGATGCAAAGAAATGGCAACCGGAAGTGGTTAAGGTATCTTCATTGATTTTTTTGTATACAACGAGATATGGTTATATCCTTTTTGATTCTGAACATTCTCAAAAGCTTCTTGCTATTGGATTATCAATCGCCTAGCTGCTTTTGACTATCTTTAGTATCAGCTAAATAACTTCACCTTTTGCTTACTTCATTTTATCGTGAAAACTGTCCTTGCCACATGGAAACTGAGTATGGTTGTCTTCTTAGCAAAGAAAAAGAATTTTTCCTTCAAAGATCACGGTCATACTGCAGCTTAATACGATTAGTGCGATATGCGCACTTTTTTCTTAAACTTATAAAAGTGTGCATTTTGTACAATCGCATTATTCAGCCATCTTGACCCTCTTAGATCCTTAGCTGGTCTTTCATGTTGTTGGCTATTCATGAAGAATAGTAATGTTCATTCATCAAAAGAGATTAGCTCTGATTACGGCATCTCAACTACATCTAGTCTTCAATTCCTTAACCATGTTCAATTTTTATTATTAAGGAAATGCCTTCTACGGATTACACCCCAAGAGTTCTGAGTCACAAGCAGAGGAGGAAAAGACGGGCTGTATCTGCGACGGACACGTAGATGGTATGGAATGGTGGTGAATACTCGCGGTTACACTTCTATTGTTATTTGTTACTGTTGTGAGGCTTTGAGCTCTGTTTTGGAAAATGGTAAATGTA